TACGCTTGGTTACTAATTCCAGTGGGTACGTAACTGCCTTGTCGAATTAACGAACCTTCCTGACTCGTTCCTATATGTTGATAGGGGTCTTGCATAACAAACCCCATGCCGTTTGGTCCAGGATTATATCCCTGTGGGGATATATGCATTTGGGGATTAGGCCCTATCAAGGGTACTGGCATATCAGCATGTATAGGTTGGGTACTTCGCCAATTAGGTGGCATACCCCAAGGATACTCCCTCGTGACATCTACCAGTTCCTGAGTTACATTATTTGGCCTTGCTGTGTTTTCGAGTAACACAGGAGGAGACCTTGCCCCCCCGGTCACATTAGTAGCACTATCAGGATTGGGGTTAGGCTGTTCTACATTTGCATTATTATGGCTTGCATTCGGATTATTAGACGTAGACATAGTTCTCCCACTCCTTAATCTCATGCAATTCACACACCTAAACTAGTCCAATTATGTTCTGAATTAAACGGGTCCCACCGGGCGTGCCAATTTGTTTACGGTGGAATTAACCATCAAATCCTGGGTTCTTTTTATTTAGACTAGCACACGAACGTATTTCAATTTAGGTGCTTTACTGTGTTATCGTGTTACCGAGAATGGAGAGTAGGATGAAAAAGTCTTAGCAACTACTTGTTTCGAAATGTTCTTCGATTAAAACAAACAAGCAATGTTCCCGCATGCAAATAACAATATGAATAGAATGAACAATGTATACATTCGCAATACAAATCATGTTCAAATTACATAATGTTCAAGCATTACAAGATTAAAGTCTATAACTACGTAATTAAAGGGAGAGAAGAGAAAAGAAAGACTACACTAATCCTACTCCTAAAAAGAGAAAAGACAAGTGGCCGAGAAGTAATCATACCCAAAGATGATTCCTTGCATGGAAGCCATATGTGCAAGCAGAGAATGCTTCAGAATTTGGTTAGAGTATGAGTTTTCCGACCTTTGTAAAGGTACGTAATCCTTGGTCATGTTAATCCCAAGCGTGTAGTTCAGTAGTAGGGGTTGATCCACACTTAAGCAAGGTCAATTTTGGGGTCAGCTATCCCACCCTTTGAGGTGCCTACAACGTAGCGAGGAGATTAGTCACTACTATCGACAGTGAATACTCCAGGGACGAATAAAAAAATAATAATTATGTACCGAAAGGTGGTGGCAGCTGTACGCAGCTGTACCTAACATAACTACCTACCTTTGAAAAATTATCATCAAGCAAAAGACTACAAATAAATCACAATCCTTCCGACAAATTAAACTACGTATGAAACAAGCAATGCAAGTTTCTCATTTGAAGACAAGATTAGTTATAAGGTTATTGTTTAATGAAATCTCTCCTTATAACTATCACTTGTATAAGTACAAAACCATGTACTGGAGTGCGTCTGTTCCTTATATTTTTATACACACATATATACTATTTAACTATAGACTTTAGTTGTGTGAAACGATGATAAAAATGTAATTTTATCTAAGAATTTATAATCTATAATCTATAATATATATAAAGATACTAACAATTCAAAATTTTGAGATTTGATAATCAAAAGTAATATCAATTTATTTAAAAAATATTAATAATTTTTTAAATATTTTTATTAAATAAAATATAAAAATACAAAATGTCTATTAGCTTCATTAGTCAATAAAAAAGTCATCTCACTATTTATTATGGAGACAATCCAAACAAAAACGATTAATCGGACCGTGAATATAAATATATAATTGATAGCATTACTAATTAATCTCACTTTTAAAATTTGGTAGCATGGACAATTACTTGGCTCTTGGATCAGTATTCCACAGTAAAAAAAACCTACCAAGGGCGAGGTCATTGTATTGTTTGACATTTATTTATTTATTTATGTAAAAGTCTATCTCAGATCATACACTACGATTTCCAATTGGGTAAGTTCCTCATATTTGTTAAATTAATTGCATACCTTAAGGAGATCCAGAACGAAACCGGGGAAATAAAAATCATTAAGAACGATAAACGGTCAAGGCACGTATCTTTATAACATCTAGTCAAGTTCACATACAAGTTTTCTCCTTATATAAGAAGAAGCAACACCAATCTAATAAATTAATTATTTTGTACAATAATTTTGTCATAATATTCATTTTTTTGTTCTTTTAATTTTGAGTTTTGTCAGAGCATGGAATTGACATGAAATTCAGTCAATACGCAGCCAAGAAAATAAAATCCTAGTTCTACAAGTATATCACCCTATGATAAATGAAAAGGAACTTAGGAACCACTTTTAACCGAATCTGCCTTCAGCAACATCATTACTATGTTTATATCATGTTATGATCACCTTACTGCCATTAAAATGAATAAATACATAAATATGGTGTAGCAGTCATGAAAAGATCATATAACTAGCAGACAAACTCACACTGCCACTAAAATGAATAAATACATAATTATGGTGTAGCAACAATATCAAGTTGGCTTTCACTATATTTCTTTCTTTTAAAACAACCAAGACTGATTGCAATAATGGGAAACTGTAAATTTCCCAAAATTCAGAATACGAACCGAAGTTTCTATTTACAATTTTCTAATAAGTAGATATAGTGCAACAATAATACATGTAAAAAAAACAATAGAAGTGTTTACATCAGCAATTAATAATGACAAATACAATAAGGATTTCCATAATCTTTTACAATATTTTAAAAAAGGATGTAGCCTGAAACCTGGAGATGATATGTAGTAGCTGATTCAAAAAATAATCATGAACAACTCAGTAGGGCTTCAAAACTTGTACTTTTATCAACATAAGGTTTACCTGGAATAGCAATCTGATCAATGTATGGGTTGCTGAACTTTCTAGCTTCCTTCAATCAGTAGTGAATTATATAAGATTTAGCTTTTCTATTTTATAAAATATAAGTTATGAGCTTATGGACTCGGTTCATTTAGTACTTAAATTTAATTTATACATCAGAAACCAATATTTATATGTACATGTATGTGCGCTATTCTTAAATAGTGTTTTACATAGTAACATCTATACTTTTACAGTTTACCTCAACTGGTTTTTGGTAAAAAAGCATTTTTGAGAACCCTGGTCAGAGCCACCATGTTTATCACAAAAACTGAGCATAAAAGCAGAGTAAACAATGATATCTAATCAGTACTGATTTACTTTCCTGCATTTATTGTTAGGATGCTGACATTTTCGATAACAACCCCAAAACCTTAGCCATCTAGATGGAGTATTTACAATTGTGTAAGGCTAAAATGACACAGAATTAAACAAAAAAATCCTCCAGTTTCTGATCGAAAGCACACTATTGATAATTAAAATGGACTACATTGGAGGTTTTCAACTAACTACCAAAATTTACAGGGACAAGTAAGAGAAATATAAATGAATTAGTGAATTATTACCTCAATTCTTTTTCAGCGGAAGTTGCCTCAAATTTTGCCTTCATCTTTCTTCCTAAACAAGAATATTAGGTGAAGAGGAAGAGACTTCCACAAAAACCTCATCAAGCATCCTGCACACCACAGACAAGAAAATTTATGCACTAGCATATCTCTGCAACTTTAATAGCACGTTCAGTTTTACGAATTTTGTCTTCTGATCCTCTTTTATCTTTTGAATCTGTGAACAACTTACTACTCAATCCACCACATTTTTGATTGGTAGGAGTTACAATAGAATTCGAATCGAATCTAAGACTCTGTTTATATTATTTTAAATCTTTACTTATAGACCAATCCTAAAAGTACTCAATCCACCACAACATCCTTAAAGAGATTATGCTTGAATAACTGATTACAGTACTCCAGGTAATCTACTTCTGAAAAATTATAACATATTGATTTTTAATTTAATTTTTGTAAGTGATATGGATCAATTAGTCGTTCTCTTTGATCTAAAATGACATACTAAAGCCAACAGCAATATATATTATAGTTGTTCAGAATCTTACTCAATTCATTGATGGGAGTAAGAGAATTGGAAAACCGTTTCGTCACCTCATTGAGAAATTGCACGAAAATAACGGAACTGAAGAAGATTCAGGCCCACATCGTGAAGCTGTCACTGTCACAGAGCAACTTTCTGGCCACCAAAATGTTGGATCTATGTGACAACTTGGGTCACGTTGGCTACGCCACCTTGCTGTTCCAACAACTAGAAAACCCCAACGTGTTCTCTTACAATGCAATTATCAGAACCTACACCCATAATCACAACCATTCTCTGGCAATTACGCTGTTCAACCAAATGCTGACATGTCCTACGAAATCAGCATTGCCAGACAAATTCACGTTCCCCTTTGTCATAAAATCTTGTGCGGGTCTTCTTTGCCTTTGTCTCGGGCAGCAGGTTCACGCGCACGTGTGCAAATTTGGCACCAAGTCGCATCCAATTACGGATAACGCGCTGATTGATATGTATACAAAGTGTGGTGATTTGAGTAGTGCGTACCAAGTGTTTGAGGAAATGACTGAGCGAGATTCGGTTTCTTGGAATAGTTTAATATCGGGGCACGCGAGACTGGGGCAGATGAAGAGTGCGAGGGAAGTGTTTGATGAAATGCCTTGTAGGACAATCGTGTCTTGGACGACTATGATTAATGGGTATGCTAGAGTAGGATGTTATGCTGATGCTTTGGAGATTTTCCGTGAGATGCAAGTGGTGGGTATTGAGCCTGATGAGATTAGTGTTATATCTGTTCTACCAGCATGTGCACAGCTTGGGGCTCTTGAGGTTGGGAAGTGGATTCACAAGTACTCGGAGAAAAGTGGGTTTTTGAAGAAGACTAGTGTGTGTAATGCTCTAGTTGAAATGTATGCTAAGTGTGGTTGCATTGAAGAGGCTCGGAACTTGTTTGATAAGATGGATGAGAAGGATGTGATTTCTTGGAGTACCATGATTGGGGGGCTGGCTAGTCATGGAAAAGGGTATGCGGCAATTCGAGTTTTTGAAGATATGCAGAAAGCAGGAATAGCTCCTAATGGGGTAACGTTTGTTGGTGTTTTATCAGCTTGTGCTCATGCAGGGTTGTGGGATGAGGGGTTGAGATATTTTGATGTTATGAGGGTGGATTATCGTTTAGAGCCAGAGATTGAGCACTATGGTTGCCTTGTTGATCTTCTAGGACGCTCTGGACGGCTTGATCAGGCTCTTGACACAATATCTAAGATGCCGGTGCAACCGGATTCGAGGATATGGAACTCTTTATTGAGCTCTTGCAGGATTCATCGCAATCTTGAGATTGCTGTGGTTGCAATGGAACAGCTTTTAAAGCTTGAGCCGGAAGAATCTGGGAATTATGTTTTGCTAGCTAACATGTATGCTGAACTTGGCAAGTGGGAGGGTGTATCGAATGTTAGGAAACTCGTAAGAAACAAGAGAATAAAGAAAATCCCGGGATGTAGCTTGATTGAGGTTAACAATGTGGTTCAGGAATTTGTATCTGGTGATGATTCAAAGCCCTTTTCACAAGATATTTTTTGGATCCTAGAAGGGCTGACTTTACATCAAACTAGAACCAATGACATGATGGAATTTGTCGAGGAAGATGCAGGCTAAGTTTATAGTAAAATTATTTAGTTTGAGATTTTAAATATTATGAGAGGCTCAGAGCAATGTTTGTTCGATTTGTTCAATCATAAGGATGGAACGTGGTAAGATGTTGCTAACTAAATTTTGTCTTGTCTCGTTAGAAATCAAGAAGGCGACATTTTAGGAGCAGAAAAAGGGCATGGATCTCTTCGTGCTGCAACTTCTGGAATACTAAAATTTCTTTGCAGATGTCATAAGTTGAAATCATTTTGGTCGAAAATAACCCCGTTAGTCGAATGTCCATGTATACAAATTTAAAAGCATACATTCGTCACAGATTTGTTAATTTCTAATTTATGGATTGAATTGTTTGATTTCCTTCCTTAATTGGTGATGCACTTAACGAATAGTCGGAAAAGAAAAGTCATTTCATCTCTTATAAACCATGGGTCATAAATTCCTTCCAATTCATTTTAGAATACTTTAGAGAAAGAAAAAAAAAAAGATATTGTATTTCTCTTTGCAAAAAAAGAAAGTTGTTTTCGCCATACTTATATAAAAATTGAGATATATAACCATATGAAAAAAATGATATTTTTTGAGTGATTCTTTTAAGAAAGAGAAATTATTTATAATCCTAATTTTATAATAAAAATCTTTGTTTAGATTAGATCTTGTAATTTTTCCTTATTTGCATCAAAAAAGTTTTTCACACAAATATTCTAGTGTAATTCTTTTACTCCTTCACATAGTACCTATTTTGTGTTCATATCGGTGAAAATTATATTGGTTAATTCCCGACATGAATGACATAATAAGCAAGAGTTTTGATGGTACTAACCCATAACACAAATATGAACTTCCAGAAAGGATGTAGTCATGAAAAAATATTTTAGGGGTGCCAGATTATTTATATATATAAAATTATAAATTAATTTTTTTATCAGTTAAAAAAATAATAGAATTTCTCTTTTTTTAATTTAATTTTTTAGTTTTATTATAATTAATGATATAATAATATATAAATATAATATTAATATATATATATATATATATAAAATAGAAAAATTTGGGGTATATATATGAATATATATATATAAAAACAAAAAAAAAAAATTTAGAAAAGTTTGGGCCGAGATCCGCCACTGGATGTAGTAGCATATAAACTTGCTTTGAACAGGCTTGACTAGATATTAAGACAAACAATTTACTGCAAATAAAAACATAACTAATTGTCTGATTTTACCACTCTAGAATTCCCCCATACAAAAAATTACAAGTCATTACTTAGTTAAATCCACACGTCACCCGCACATAGAAACCAACTACACACTGTGACCCACGAATTGCAATTATTTGTTCAATTTGCAGCTTCAATGAAAAGATTAAATGATGTTTTGAGAACAGGTAAAAATGATGGAGACAGTTAAATTAATTTATTTGAAGTGAATGATAAGTAAGTTAACAGTTGGTTGTGATAGATGGATATGGGAACATTTGTAAAGCCCTGAATCACAGTTATTGCTTCATAATTCAACGCTAAAGCCGTGAATCTTTCCAATATCATAACTACCTACCTTTGAAAAATTATCAACAATTAAAAGACTACAAATAAATCACATTCCTTCCGACAAATTAAATTACGTATGAAACAAGCAATGCAAGTTTCTCATTTGAAGACAAGATTAGTTATAAGCCTACTGTTTAATGAAATTATAAGTTTAAATTTTACTTCTGTGATATATGTTAAATGAAGAGTGTTTGTTAATGAGTATCATTGTGATAAACCTTTAAATTTAATGGAGAAAAACACCAATAAAATTACAGTTATTGTATTTAAACTTTGTCCTAAATGATATCTCTCTTTATATCTATCAAACATATAAGTACAAAAATCCTTTAGTAGAGCATGTTTGTTTTACGTTATAGTTTTAAATACCGACCTTTATGAATATTGATTCATTATTTCTTTAATTCTTTACATTATATATGTATTTTTTTAAGTTGGTTTTCGATTCAGTTTATCAATCTTATATTTTTCTTGCACTTTGTACTTAAGATTGAAGGATTTGTATACCCTTTATGTCAATTGAGATGGCTTCTAATTGAGGCCACTAATCAGAATTGGTCTAATAACCAATTAGCTACTAACTTTATAATGACAAAATATTATTCCACATACTTCTTAAGGTTGTGTCTTATTCAAGTCATTGATCCATCTTGTTAAAATTGGCCTAAAATAAAATTTGAAAGAAACCTTCTGTATTTTAAATAAAAGAGTTATACATTGGATTTTTTTTTTTTTTACCATCATGTGACCTTTTTAGTTTTATAAAAACTAATAACATTAAATATTTTTTTATTGTTAGACATAAATATTGAGTTTTAGTAACTTTACCTTAACCCGAGCACATTACCTAAGTAATCAGCTCAAGAACGACATCACTGGAATAATAACTTGGTGGACTCAAATTAATAGTTGGTTCAAGATCGACATCATTGGAAGAGAATTATTTGCTCTAAACCAATCTCATGGGCAAGAAGAGGCCTCTTGGACCACCCTTTTAGATACGTGGATTGCTTTCCAAAATCTGGATTCAGATATACAAATGTACATCATATAATTTGATTCTAGGATTAGCATGGCTAGGCAATTTTTTTTTTTTTTTTTCAATTT